AGAACTAGTAAAGAAGTTTGAGTGACAATGACGTAATGATGTGAATCTTGGAAGGTGGTTGAGTTGGCTGGCTATGACTGGCAATCTAGGGGCAAACTGGCCAATAACTGCATCTCAGTTTCTTCATCTGTAAAATGAAGGGAATAATGGTGGGCTGTTTACTGCTAGAAGGCTAAATGGAATAATGCATGTAAAGACTTCAGTGTGAGGTTTGATGCACTCATCAAAGGGAGCTTCAGTAATCATGATTGCCTTGGGCAACTCCAGCTACTGTAACAAAATACTATAGACTGGGTGGCTTACACAACAGAAAATTATTTCTTACAGTTCTGGCAGCTGCAAGTCCGTGATCAAAAGGCCAGCATGGTTGGGTTTTGGTGAGAACCTTCTTCCTGGCTTGTATTAATACTTGGCTGCCTTCTTGCTGTGTGCTTACATGACAGGGAGAGGGAGAGGGAAAGGCTCCAGTCTCTTCCTACAAGGGCACTAAGTCTGTCGTGAGCACCCCACCCACATGACCTCATTTAAACCCGATGACCTCCTAAAGGCCTCACCTGTTAAGGTTTAGGGCTTCAACATATGAGTTTGAGGGGAGCCAGACACAGACATTCAGTCCATCACATTCATTTCAAAAATCCAGTGGGAGAGATATTTCATGTTGATTTGCAATTTGTTTACAAACACCTTTTCAGTACTACAGTCTACTGGGGTGCTGGGCACCATTTTTGCGGATAACGAGCAGCTGGCCTTGCCAACTCTGGGTGGGGCCCTTGAACCAGGAGCAGTGGCATCACAGGGAGCTTGCTGGGAATGCAGGACCTCAGTCCCCACCCCACCCCCAAACCTACTGAATCAGAGTCTGCCCTTGACCTGGTCCCCAGGGGTTTGGGGTACATACACATTGCTTACACGGGGCTGTCTAGGATTTGAAGAGGAGGGAACCTACCTGGCAAAGTGTTCAGACCCCAGTGGTTATGTGTTTGTGTGGGGCTGAGGATGAAATCAGAAGAGAGTGGGACAGTTACAGGGGTGGCTTGAGGGAGGCCAATACAAGACACCCTTGTCCTCCCGTGATCCAGAACCAACTGTGAGACCGGCAAACAAGCGGAGCAGACAGAGGTCAAACTATCAGCTTTATCACAGATAGGACTTTTGGAGGACAGGGACTTAGGGGTGTGGCTTCCTGCCCCTGAACCCCAGAAACAGAGACTCATAAGGATGCAGGCGGTGTCTCCCAAAAACAATAAGAGGAGGGGAAGGCGTCTTTGGTGTGCTACTTTTCTATTGCAGCCAAGCTAGCAAATGATCACCGACTTCGCAGCTTACACAACACTGGTTCCTCTCGTTTATTCTACCAGCATCTTGTCCTGTCCATTCCAAGCTGATTGCTGGTGTCCACCTCCACCCCATCCTCACTGGTCTTGGCTGCTCCTAATGGCACATGGGCGGGAAATGGGGGAAGATCCTTCCCTCTCCCTCACTTCCGTCCCCCCTTTTCTGTCCCCATTTTTTTCACCTAAATGCTCACGAGTCTTGCTTGGCAAGGTTGTAGCTCATCTGCTCCTTCTCTACTCCGTCTAATTCACCTATCCACCTCTGATAGATTTATTTTCCTAAAATATGTGTCCATCGTGTTATTTCCCAGATTTCCAGGCTCTGAGAGAACCCGCTGCCCTCACACTGAAGTTCAGGTTGCTTTAGATTGTGTAAGCTGCCTCTGACCTGTCTGTGTTTGTGTCTGCCAGCGCTGTGTCACCTACAAACTGCCACACCCCAACCTGATCCCCAACTTACACCCCAACTATGCTGTGGGCCTGTGTCATAACTTCATCTCTGCCTCTCTCATGCTCATCCTTCTGCTTGGAAAGCCTTCTCTCCCAACCCCCCAGGCCCCCCCAAGCCTTACTGACCACCTGGTAAAAATCTACATGGCCTCCAAGAGTCAAAGCAATATCATTTCTAACCAAGAATCAGGTCTTTCCAAAGCCCACCAGACAGTGTCAACTCCTGTGTGTCCTCGCTCCACCTTCCTGGGCTCTACACACGCGTCCACCAGCGGCTTGATACTCCACGGCTCTCACCTATTGGCCCAAAGGGACCTCGACCTGCTCTCAGACTTTGTAGATGGCCGGAAATAACCTCAGGATATGAATCTTAAATACTTGGCGATTCTGCTCAGTAAAGCATTTCAGGGCTATTTTCTGATAGAGACCTTGAGACAAAGGAGGATAAAAGTCAAAGATGAGATCAGAGTTTAATCATTCAGAAGGCTAAAAAGACACTGAGAAAAATACACAGTTGTGGTCAAAAAGATACAGAGCTCATCACGTGTGTAGACCCAGATGCAGGGATGAGAATGTGTGCGTGTCCAGAAATCAAGAGTGAAGTAACTTTGGGCAGATTTCCTAAACTCTCCAAGTGTAAGGTTTCTGGTCTGTAAAATGGGAATGAGAATAGTGTTGTTGCAAGGAATAAATTGGGCAAGGTAGGCTTTTTGGCCATGGCCTGGCATACAGCAGCCATAGAGAGACTGGAAGGGAATGCTGGCCAAAGTCAGCTCTCACTGTTGTGAATACCCAAGACCTGTCTTCTCTTACAGTTCAGGTTCTAGCATCATTAACAACTCCTTGGGCAAATCATTTCAAATTCCTACAGGTGTGACTTCAGGTACAGACACCCACCTCCTCTCTCTCCCTCTTACCCCCCAACTTAATGATGCATGCTGTCTCCTTGAAGCTACTGGCACAGGACAAACGAAAAAAGCTCTCAACAGACTGCTGCACACCTTTCAAAATCCTCTCACTTCTGCCTTTGTTTTTAGGTTAAAAAAAAAAAATCTTGGCTCTTCTCTCAGAATCACTGAAATATTAGGTGTGTAGACAAAACACTTGCCTTTCCACTCTGCTTCTCCTATTTCTCAATCTCAGACATGGAAAGGCTTCTCAGGGTCTCAGGAGAGAATTTCCAGGGTGGTTAATTCTGTTAGGTCTCTTTAGCATAAACTCAGCTGTCTGGTCAATCTTACCGCTGTGAATTTCCCCTGGCCCCCACGCCTATTAAAACTAAACTTACTAACTTCAGGGTGTATTTGTTATTTTCTGCCTTATCATTCACAATTAGTGCAAATAACTCTTTCTCTGCTCTGTTTTTTAAAAAACTTTTATGCAGTCACTTTATGTACTTGTAAACGACAATCTTGTGTGTATGTGTCTTTAAGAAGGCTCTTTTGAGAATTTTGTTGTTTAGTTGCTAAGTCGTGTCCAGCTCTTTGCAACTTTAAGGACTCTAGGTGTCAGGCTCTTCTGTCCGTGGGATTTCCCAGGCAAGAATACTTTAGTGGAGTACAATTTCCTTCTCCAGGGTATCTTTCCAACTCAGGGATCGAACCCACGTCTCCTGCATTGGCAGGCAGATTCTTTAACACTCAGCCACCAGGGAAGCCTCCTTTGAGACTATACATACTTAATTCTTTTCATTTTTCATCACAGGGCAGTCCTTCAGAACCCCTTATTATTTCAGTTGCCCTTTTTGCTTAGCAAAAACATAAAACTAAGCAGCTGAAAATCTTGTTCTCCTGCCTATTTAAACAGCATCTGGAAATCTGAAATAATTACCTCCTTTCTTAAAGGTTTTATTTAAGCAATATTATATTAATATTGTGCAGTGGAGTTGAAAGCTCTAGGTCTGCAGTATTTGAAATGTTGAAATCTTAAGGCTTTGAAAAATGCTATTTCCTCCATGTTAGTCATTCAGTTCTGACCATTATCCATAACAAGGCTGATGAAATCATTTCAAATTCAGAACATTATACATAGATATTCAAGGGAAAGAGAAAAAGCTTCATATGGCTTTGCTTAATGGATTTACCTGTGACTTTACCTGTAACTGTACATGCAGGAGTATATAGTAAGTGATCCATATCTGGAAATTATTATGACAATTATTTTCAGTAACAATTGATATCACTGTCACTTTAAGAATAAAAGCTTTCAGTATAAGCAATCTGCCCTCCTAGCAAAGGGAAAGAAAGGAAATCAAGTGGGAAGAAAATATTTCTAAAATATTTTATTATTGGAAGTAAATGGTTATAATGTTTGTCTACTAGTTTCTTTTAGAAGATATATTCCAAATTGTTATTTTTATCACTTTGAAAACTATTCATATTTTTACTTTTTTTGCATTTAGTTTCTAGTATGTCACAGATTTTTTAATGTTTTTGTATTAAGTTAGGGCTTGGGAGTTTTTGTTGTTGTTTGTTTTTCCTTACCTATCAACAATTCTTTTATTTAATTTTTATTCTACATTGATGTATGGTTGATTTACAATGTTGTATTAATTTCAGGTGGACAGCAAAGTGATTCAGTTACACATTCGCATATATCCATTCTTTTTCAGGTTCTTTTCCCATATAGGTTATTACAGAATATTGACTAGAGTTCCATATGCTATATAGTAGGTCCCTATTGATTATCTATTTTATATTTTATAGAGTGTATATGTTAATCCCAAACTCCTAATTTATACCCCCCCCAACCTTTCCCCTTTGGGTTTGGTTTTCACTTTGAATTGTGATCCACCCCTACATTATCCAAATGTGTTTTTAAGGTTCATGAAATAAGTCACATTTGCATCCCATATAGAGCTTAAAAGAGGTGATTCTATGAATGATAAAGACTTCAGTATTAGCTAGCGAGGGGAGACATTGGTAGAAGGCACATAAAAACCATATGCACATGTAACAGTTCATTTTTTTATATGATGTTTACTGTTTTAAGTTATTTTTGACACAAAGCTGGACAATATGCTATAAAAATCTCCAGTGCTGAAAAGTGTGAGAGGCAACAAGCTTCCAAAAAAAATGAGAGAGGGGATTTAGTTTTCACACTGGCATTGGTTCCAATTACAATTAATCAGCTTCAGTAAATTTGGTGTTTGCTGAATGTATTCACACAATTATTTTTATTTTCCTATTTTCTACTCTTTCAGAATGTGTACATGGAATGAATCCATCTAGAGACGTTCACGGTATGTTAGATTCCAAATTATATTCTTTACATGCATATTCATATATGCATATATATTACATTTTATCCATGTATCTCTATTAACCCCAATAATCAAGACTTTTTTTTTGCTGATTCAGAAATATTTAAAAGCTGTTTTCCATAGTATAAATGTCAAACATATAAAACATTCCAATGAAACCTTAAATGATACCCTCGGTTCTACAGCGTTTACCACAGGTGCATTGTGCTGTTATTAAATGACTATATATGACTCTCTCTAGAAAAAAAAAAAAAAAGCTTGGCTTCTATGTGTTATAACCTTGTTTATTACTTTTGCTATAGCAGTGCTAATGCAAAATTTTTATGAGCAAAATGCTTACTAAGCATCCCTAATTTTTAAAAAGATTAATTTAAATTCTTTCTCAGTTTGTTACTTGTGAGTTGTAAATTGATTTACAAAGTTCGTGAAATAGTCATATTATCAACCACAGGATCCCATGGAAACGTTCACACAGAGGAAGGCTGTGGCAAAAACGAAGGAATCTGGTCCCCCAAAGTAATTATATTTCAAAAGTGAAATCATCTCAAATCCACTGGGAGAAAGGGATGTTTAATTATTTAAATTCCAATGCTGAAAACTGGACAATGTGTATTATACATACATTTACATGTATGTTAGTCTCCATCAAAATTGTTCTCATTCCCTGTGCCACCTCTAGCAAAATACATTCTCTGATTTTTATTTTCATTAAAATGGCCACTGAAAACAGAAATAATTCTTTGAGAAATGTTACATTTTTAGGAATGTAATTTTAGAAATATATTACAGAGGGGATTTTAAGAGAATGGTTGAGATTCTTATTTTTGCAAGCGTTTTGAAAGAGTAAAAAATGTGTAATATTTAAATGCTTTCTGAGACCCCCCCCCCCATCATTATATATTTACCTAAAGTTGTAGGGGGTAAAAAAGTCAATAAGCTGTTTTCCAGTGAAATTGTTTTATTTTCCCCTTCCAGCTAAGCAAATACTGATTTTTCAATTCACTGTGAAAACTCACATTTCATTCAATCAACTAGGAGCCTTTTGGAAATTTCCCCCATGCAGCAAATTTGGAAGAATCTGTCACACAGCATCCATCCGCCCAGCATACTGCTTCGCTGTAAATTCTGTATTGCATTATGACAAAAGCAAATATTAGTATTATTCCAGGGGAACACGACACGAGTGTATACAGAAATGTTTCCTTTCCGTTTCTCTTAGAAAAGCAAGGGAAGGGAGATGCTACATCGCCGCTTAAATGAGCGCTCCTGGTGGAAAATGAGTACATGGTGTTACTCAACTCCAGACGCTCTATGTACAAAGCCCTTTAGATTAAGGGGTTCGCGATACCCACTTAGTTGAGTCCCAGGCTGCCAGCTTTCCATTTATTTTAGTTCCTCGATAAGGAAGGGCGGTGTGTTTTGTTGCTGGTTTGCAAAGCGTGCACCCCGTTAGCGCAGTTACAGCCTGTGCACGGTCCTGAGAACCCCCAATGCCCGGCGGCCCCACTCAAATAAAATCAGCAGCAGCTTTCCTTGCTGCCACCGTCGTTGTCGGAGCTCGAACTTAGGATTTACTGGTTGAGATTCTGAGCTGGGCAGCGTCTGAACCGGGTGCATCTATCGCTAAGCCTTTTCTCTTACTAAGGAAACCTGATCCCCACTGGAAGACCGTGTTGCGTGGGGCGCCCGCGGCCCCTCGCAGGGTTGAGAGTTTAAGGCAAACGGTCACAGCCCCAGAGGAGCTTTCTCTGAGCTTTCCGAGCAAGCGGCTTACCCCCCACCCCCCGACCGCTACATCCTCCGAGGCAGAGCCCATTTTTGCCTCCACCACACTCTTAAGAGTCCCCCAGCCCCGGTCCTCGGGGGTCTATGGGGATGCACTTGATCGGCTCCTGAGGAAATACACTCGAGACCAAGCAGAAAGATTTCACTCGGCCCGAACTCGTCTCTAGAGCGGGCAGCGTCGAGCCCGGGCGCAGAAGAGAGACTGTGTGGCCCCGGAACCCCGTCGCAGACAGTGGGGGTGCTCTGGGGACTGCTCGGTATTTGGGATAGCTCGGCCCGAGTGGAGAGAAAACGGTTTGGGGTGGGGGAGGGGGTCTTTACACTTGCAATGTCTGAAATTAGGCTTCTTCAAAAATTACTTTAAAAAAAAGGACAAAGGCGTTTTCTGAGACACCCCGCCACCCCCAGACCCATTAAACAAAATAACAGCTGAGTGCTGAAAGTTCCGGAATGTCCCAGGTTTTCCCGAGCGAGAGAAGCTAGGGGACGGGCGCACCAGGCGAGATGCGGGGCCTGAAGGAGGGGACCGGGCCACAGGGCGCCCGGGACGCCCGCAGCCCCTACGGCTGGGACCAGCCGACGGTGGGGACGGCCAAGGGATTTCGGGAGAAAAAGACCCCGATGCGCGCGAGTCGGGACAGCCGGGACCCCTGCCCGAAGGTTCCCCTGCTGCCCTCCGGGCCGCTGGGACAGCGGGGTGGAAGACGGAATGGGGCCGTGCAGGGAGGATCCGGCCGCCGTTTCTCCTTTCGCTTCTTCCCCAGCTGAAGTTCCTACCGGAGACCCAAAGGCCGCCAGAAGGACGGCGCGACAGCCGCGCCGTCGGGGGCGTTCCCCGGCGCGCGGGCCGGCCGCCGGGCGCCTGCTGCCCCCTGGCGCCCGTGCCGAGCCGCCCGGCCTCTCCCGGCCTGGGGCGAGGGAAGCTGCCGCGGCGCCCGGAAAGGCCTCCGCGGGCTGGCCCGCCACGGCCCCCGCCTCTGGCAGGCCCGTTGGCGCTGGAACCCTGGGGAGGCCGGAGCGGCAGCGGCAGCGCTCCGGCACCCCCAAATCGCGCGTCGGCAGGGGGAACCAAGGCAGGGGGTCGGAAGGGAGGGTCCCTCACCCCGGGGGGTGGGGGCGAAGGACCCCCGCCCAGGGCGGAGTCGACGTGGAGGGCTCCGTGCCAGGAGAGGGGGAGAGTGGATGAGCGCCCTCCCCCCGAGGGAGGGACCCGGTGGGCTCCGCGCGGAGTGGGGGAGCAGCCCCACGGCCGGGTGGTTGCGGGGGCGGGGCCCCTCTAAGCTCCGCGAAAATGCCCGCGGCGCCGCGGGGACGGGAGCGGGGGGAATGTTCCCGCCCGCGCGCAGAGCCGGGGTGGCTTCAGCTCCCGGGGCGGCTGGCGCGCGGGGGCGGGGAGCGGAGCCGGGGGGCCGTTTCCGGGGAGCCGGAGGTGGGTGCGGGGCGCGAACGACCTGGGCCCTGCGGCGGAACCCCGCCCGGAGGCTTTCCACTTTCTTTCCAGTCGCTTGTTCTTTGGGGGGGTCTTTTCTGAACTACCGAACTCCTTCGCTGGCCGCTAAGCTCAACTCCACCTGAGCGAGGCGCGCCGCGTCAAGACGCACCAAAAAACACCAAGAAAACAAACCCAGAGAGAAAACACACAAAAAGCAGGTCGTGGAGACCGACCACCGTCTGGCCCCTGTAAATGAATCAGCGTCACTTTGCCACGGCTGCCAAGCGGCGCCGAGCGGCTCCCCGGGCTGGGCCCTCGGCCCTTCCCGGCCCCCTCGCGGCCGAATCCCATCCACGCCGGGAAAGCGGAGGCCTTGGGGCCGCCAGGGCCGTCCGGCCCCCGGGTATCGGGAGCCTAGCGGCGGCCGCTTCATCTATCTCCATGGCTCGCGGGACGCTTCCCTCCGGCAGATCTCTGAACCCGGACCATTCGGGGCTCAGCGCGCGGCCCGATCTCCGGCAGATCTCTGAGCCCGGACCATTCGGGGCTCGGCGCGCGGCCCCAGTCCTCCCCAGGCCGACCGGCCTTCTGCTCCACCTCCTGGGTCTCCGAACCACGGCCGCCCCTGGCGCGGCCGCTCACGGCAGACCCCCGGGGCGGGCGGGCAGGCGGACTGCCGGCTGCGCAAGCCCGCGGGTGTGCAAAGCCGTAGAGTCGCCGTCCGCACCGGGATGGGGGTCTCGAGCGAGCGTGGGAGCGTGTGCGTGCGGGAATTTGGATGCGGGGAGCGCGGCGTGGCCACCGCAGTAGCGGTGGACTCTCCACCCCGGCCGCGTACAGTAGCGCGCGGCGGCGGCGGGGGCGCGCGAGCCAATTCCAGGAGCCCGCGGCACCGAGCCGCGCCCTGCCTGATACCGGAAAGGCCTGTGATTGGCCGGCGGCCGCCCCTATGCAAACGAGCTGAGGGAATGGAATTCCTCGGGCCGGGCTTACAGTAAAAGCACGTTCATTTCCAGGCACTCTCATTCATAGAGCCAGCGGGCGCAGGCGGGACGAGCGCCCCGCGGCCGGACCCAGCCAGGGCACCACGCTGCCCGGCCCTGCGCCGGCAGGCACCTCTTGCTGGGGATACTGGGGACGCCAGAAGAAAAGTCAATCTTTGCCGTTTTTCCTAGAACCGCGTTGGAACTTCAATTTTGATTTTTGTGTGTGGGGCTTTTTTTGTTGTTGTTGTTTTTTGCCTTTTCCTACTTTTGAATGAACTGGTTTCTTGGCTGGATGGTTCCATTTCTTTCCTGGGTGTGAACTTTTCTCCGGTTGTGTCTTTTGACAACAGCAGGAGAGAGTGCGCCGGGCTTCGTGGCGAGTGGTAAAGTGGCGCGTGTGCGTGGCAGGGTGTGCGTGCTTGTGTAACTCGAGCCGGCCCGTCTGTTGCGATCTGCGCTGCGGAGCCTTTCTCGCCAGGGCTCGCTCCACCTGCTGCGGTTCCGCGGTGAGTGTGGGTAAATTGGCGCGTCCGGGCAGTTCACCCGGCCGGCGCTGGGGCGACGTTGGAGGAAGCTCGTCTCGCTACCGCCCGAGTCGGGGCTGACTCACCGCAGTCGATGTAGACGGCGGCTGGCTCCCGAAGAGTGCGTGCCTGCGTGCGTCTGACTCCGCTGCAGCTCACCTCCCACCAAACCACAGGATCAGCCACAAACTTAACCAACATCCCCAAACCCGAGTTCTCAGATGTGGAGAGCTGAACCCTGAGTGTCATCGACTTGGACTTTTTTTTTTTTTTCTAATTAGCTTTTTCTTTGATAAAGCTTGAATTTTCTGAACTGAGCATTTTGCCAGAATTTATTGAAAACATGACAAGTCCTTCTCGCCCAGCCCTTCAACTACTGAAGCTGATTCTCAAGGCTACTTAGAGAAGAAAAAAAAAACCAAAAAACCCTGCAGCGAACATTAATGGGTTTCTGTTGTGTTTAAATTCTCTACAGATTGTATTGTAAATATTTTATGAAGTAGAGCATATGTATATATTTATATATATGTGCACATACATTAGAAGCAGGACCTTTTGGAAGTCTCAGCTCTCGCTTTTGAGGACCGAAGCCTGTTTTGCATGAATAAAAAGTGGCGCCGTATTTGAAGACACTCGTGTATTTTCTTTTGTGTTTGGACTTTAGACAAAACTCACCTGGGGGAAAAGAAAAGAACTGACAGGCAATTAACTACTGGAACTTCCAAATCCCGTATTTGCTGGTCCTTCTGCTCTCCGCATTAATAGTTTAGGAAGTGTATGGGAAATTTTGCCTCCGAGAACCTCTGTAACAGCCAAAGACTGAAACTTCAAACTCTCAAAGCAAGACTCGGAAGAAGATAGGGTCCCTTGGCACTTGACTTTGGATTCTGGTCGCCCACTTTTTAAAGCACTAAGCGGTCGGTGCCCGGGTCTGAGCTGAGGCCGATCGTCAGAACTAGAACTTTTTCCGCCTTCCTGGACTGTTCGTAACTTAGTCTTCCCCTCTCCCCCAGCCACCTTGCATCAATAAAGGCCCCTGAACTTGTATGTTGGTCTCCCGGGAGCTGCTTGCTGAAGATCCGCGCTCCTGTCGCCGTCTGGTAGGAGCTGTTTGCAGGGTCCTAACTCAATCGGCTTGTTGTGATGCGTATCCCCGTAGATGCCAGCACGAGCCGCCGCTTCACGCCGCCTTCCACCGCGCTGAGCCCGGGCAAGATGAGCGAGGCGCTGCCGCTGGGCGCCCCGGACGCCGGCGCCGCCCTGGCCGGCAAGCTGAGGAGCGGCGACCGCAGCATGGTGGAGGTGCTGGCCGACCACCCGGGCGAGCTGGTGCGCACCGACAGCCCCAACTTCCTCTGCTCCGTGCTGCCCACGCACTGGCGCTGCAACAAGACCCTGCCCATCGCTTTCAAGGTAACTCGGGCCGGAGCGGGTGGCGGGAGGACACGCAGAGGCCGGTCGATCGCCGGGGCGATCGGGGAGGGCCGCGGCCAGGCAGGCGGGGCCGGGTTCTAGAAAGGGGCCGGCGCGGAGGCCCGTGGTCCATCCCTCTGCGCTCCGCACAAGGGGGATGCTGCGTTGCCGTGGCGACCCTTGGTGGGTCCGGGCCGGGGGCGGGGGGGGTGGGCGCGGAGGTGGAGGGGCCCGCCTCAGTCGGCCGCCGCGGCCTCCGGGGGTGGTTTGAAAAAAATCAGGGTGCCACCCCACCCCCAAGACGTCCACGGAGGGCCGGCGGGACCTCCTCCCCCGGGCAGCGGTTCTTCGCTTTGATCCAAAGTAGGAAAAGTTATAACCTGGCCGGAACCCAGTCTGTCTTGCTCCCTGCTTGACAACCAAGCCCTTCTGAAGAAGGCTTCAGGAAATAAAATTGAGATTCTTTGATATACCTTTGGGTCCAGGAGAAGAAACTAGACCAGGAAAACTCTCAGGTCTTTTCCCCACATCCACCCCCTCTTTAACAGCACTGTAGGAATTAGCAAGTTCAAAGTCCACGGCGGACTCTGTTAAGTTTGCAAAAGTTTTCGGAGGAGTGTTTTTTTTTTGTTTGTTTGTTTTGTTTTGAGCTTCTAGCCTATTCCTGCCAGAAGCCGCAAGTAGCGAATCCTGTTTCTTTTCCGGGAACCCTCCTGAACGTTATCGCCGGCTCTCTTAGCTTGAAGCCCCGGGTCAGCGAAAGGAGGCAAGGCGGGCTGCCGTGAGCCTGGGGGTCTCATCCGCCTGCTTTGCTGTTTGAGGGGAGGGGGGGGGCGGCGACGTGGACCGGGAAACTTCAGCCTTTTAGTTTCAGAGGTCCGCGTTCACTTTTCACCCCTCATCTTGCGCTAGCTTTCAGCTGTTTTGAAAAACCTTGGCCTTCAAAGGGGCTATATAAACAACCCCGGGCGTTTTTAAACAACCGTCCCACCACCCCTGGCAGCAAGCAGAAGACGTTTCATTTCGGCGGTAGGGATTCAGTTCTTCTGTCTTGGGTGGGTTGAAGAAGGGGCAGCTTTTTAAATATAATCAGTGCTGTCATTTCCTGTTCTTTTAAAGGGGCTAGGGCAGGCAAGGGGTGGGGTCTGGAAGCTATAAAGATCAGCTACTCTTTTTTTGTTTTTTGTTTTTTTTTTAATCTGGCTACATAATTGTCCTTTTTAAGGGGAGATTAAAGTTTTTTATGGATGGATTTTTAGCTAGTTACAATGAATAAATGTTCACTTTTTAAAATACAAGTTAACTATCGGAGTTCTTTTTTTTTTTAAGCTTTAGACACCTTCCAAACTTAGATTATGGTTTTTAAAACAAACAAAAAGTGCAGTTGGCTGCCTGTATAGAATTGCTTCAGTTTTCTGAAAGAAGAGTTTTTGAGGACGGTAGAAAGGGGGATGAGTCTGAGCAGCTGCGGGCCTCTTTCCTGTCTCTTCCTCCACGTCTGTAGATTTGGGTTGGGAGCCCATTTCAATTTTAAATCACTCTAATCCCTGTATATAAACAGACTCAGCAGACCTCCTCAGCTCTGAAAGGGATGGGCCCTGGGTCACTTTCAGATAAGTGCAGACGGGAGGAGACAGGCTGATAATCAACCTGAGGGTCCTTTAAACCAGGTGCCCTGACACACCAAGGGAGTGTGGGTTCTCAGAGATCTGTGGCTTCCTTTGGGCTAACTCATAGATTCCTCTGCCTCTCTCCTCCTAGGCTAGGGAGCCCACACCCCAAATACTAACTGATTAAGAAAGAATCTGAAGGATCATTTCTCAAGCCACCCCATGAAAGTATTTCCTTCTAAAAGAATGGAAAAAAAGAAAAAAATCACATAAATTGCCTTCCTGAGCCATCAGGGAATTCCCTTTAGCAGAAATCTTAATAACCCTAGAGGTTTCCTTTTTAAAATGACTTTTGACAATTCACTGTTTTAAAAAGATCTGTTTTACTGAGTGATAGTTTCTAGATTCAAGATCAAGGTACAAACCTCTTGAAAAAAGTTCAAGTGGGTCTTGAGAACTTTGGGTCAAAGGAAAGGATGGTAGAGGAATCAGACCGCTTGGTGAACAATCTGTCGCCACTCCAGTCCCCAGGAAGAGGGGCCTCTTTCTAAAGGAGACCTGCTCACCGCCTAACGGAAGGAGCAGGCAAAACTGCCAGTCAGGGAAGAAGCACAAAGATTAGGAATAAAGCAAGCTAAACTTTTGTGCCCCCGACTCCACTCTGTACTCATCTTGCACCACCTGCCTCCCAAGCACTTTCTATAGAAATTACTACTTTAGAATTTGGATTTTACGTAAGCCCCAGACAACCTCTTTAAGAAGGTAAGCACTAAAGAATTACTAAGATCCCCCATACTAAGGAGGAGAAAATGCAAAACCATGATAAAGTCTGCCGGTGTTGATGAGAAGGAGCACTGAAATGATTCTTTAGGCATCTTCTGAATATGTGTAAATCCTCTGCTTTAATCTTTGAAACTAAAGGGAGATTTAAAGGTGTGCGTTTTCCTTAAAATAGATGAAAACCATCCTAATTGCTTATCCTGGGCCCTCAAATATCCCCCACGCCCCCGTGTCTCTGGTGAAATTGCCTTTATTTTTTAGCCTAGGAGAGATCCCTATTTTACTACAGAGAAAAGTCTTAAATTTGCTACCTGTTACTCATTAGTTATCGAAGCAGTCAAAAAGCTGTTTGGATGACTTAGGATATGTTTTGTAAGACTGTAATATTAAAGTTTATTTAGGCCCTGGTACACCAGAGTCCGAAGGCATAAACATGCCTTCAGCAAGTTGAGAGGCCTTGGCCGCTGATAGTAATATTCTTTTCATAAGAAAGAAAGAAGTAACGTTTCTGTCGGTGAGATCATGATCTCCTAGCTCTGCAGTAAATGTCATCTCAGCTGAATGCTAAGTTCCACCCCACAGCTTTCTTTAAAATACTGGAAATTTAAGGAATTTCGAATAAATTAATTGTGACTATAATTTCAGCCTAACTAGAGTTGGTTTAAAATGCCAGTTTCAGCCGTGAACAGGCTGACCAACAGCAGTGTGGGGAGGTTCTGTAATATAGAAGAGGCTTGATATTTTGCCCAACTTCCTGATACTTTAAAAACAGAGAAGTTAAAAAAAAAAAAGAGATATGCTTTGGCCAGCAAGTCTCTTCTTGTCTGTTTGGTCTGTGTTAAAATGTAAACGTTTGTGTTTCCTTACCTATTGTTTATAGCTTTTCATTCCAGTTGTTTCTTTTATTCTGTTTGAAGTTAGATTTTTAAAAAAAATTCTCTGCATATTGCCTATCAGTGATAAAATCTATATCAAATTAACAGAAATGTTAGTTTTTAAGTTAAAAATATTTTTCTAGCCTAAGAATGCTTGCTAACAATTAGATGATATTCTTTATTAATGTAATTTTCCTGGATTTAATTCTTTCCCTCCTCCTCACCAAGAAAAATCTATAAAAGGCCAAGTAAATGATCTTTGAGCCCCGAAATATCTTGGACTCCTGTTTCAGTTGAAAAAAGGGAAGGGGAGTTAAACTCCTAATTTCTTTAGTCTTAAATTCCAGCATCAACAACTTTTTCTTGTTTAGCCACCATGATGATTTTACTCTCTATTTCTATTTGGTGACTGCCTCATGAATTTGCCACATTACTGATGAGGATCGTTTTGAAAAGATGAGTGAGGCACAGACATGGAGCACTGTGAGAGGGGCCAGTGGGAGGAGGGTGATTTAGAATACATTTTGGTAGTTATAAAACAAGATTTATTTATTTTAAGCTCTTTAACCAACAATGAGTTATTCAGTTTGAAAACCATGCAGTTGATCCGGTCCCTGTATACTTACTTACTGAATGTGGAATTAAAACAGAGACGCCAGGTCATCACAGGGAGATGGGGATGAGGAAGTAAAAATATGTTTTCAAGGAGGACATTTCAACATTGTGAGCTAATTTTACAGAGGGAAGTGAAAACAGTTGGGGGGGGAACAGACTGGGGGTGGATTTTTAAGAGACTGAAAAGAGCAGAATAAAGCAAGTCTGTTTCATGGCAACAGAAAAAATGGTAACAATAACTACATAACTGATTAAGGAGATTTATTTCAATAATGGTTTTGAAACAAAGGGGAATTGTCATATTACTGCTCTTAATTTAAGAGCAACAAACATACTTATAATGGGCTCTAACTACCTAATTAGAGGGTGCTTGGGGAAGAAATAGCTGTGCTTTTAAATTTCCTTTATAGAAAACACGTCCAACATTTGGATGGAAAGGACTGGAAAGAAAGATAAGAGTGCAAGTTGGACAAAATAGGTGAGGAACATGCCTGCTTATTGCTATAAGAATTGAATCTCAAAAAAAAAAAAAAAAAAAAAGAATTGAATCTCCTGGTACAGTCCTGGGGTCGGAAGGATGCCTACCTCTTATAGTGAGATGGTTCAATTTCCCCGTCATAGTCCGTAGATTCCAACAGCTGAAGCAACCTAGGAAATAAAAGGAATAAATGGTTAACTGGATGACACGAGAAAGGGTGATGACTAAGCAGGCAATGAAGATGAGAATTTAGAGAAACATGGCTTTTCTATCATACAGGGGGCCTATGGCAGCCTTATATGCAGATAGAAAAATAAGACTGAAATATAGGTGTTACCCCTGCAAAAAATATATATCAAATATTAGGTAAAAATAGGGAAGTGGAAAACAGGAGGAGGAATAACCACTGTGGAATGCTTTATTAACACAACTCAAAAATAAAACCCTATACCCATGAGCAATTACTCCTAATTCCTCCCTCCCTCAGCCCCTGCCAACCAGTCATCTATTTTCTCTCTCTGTGGATGTGCATATTTTAGATTATTCATATAAATGGAATCATACAATGTGTGAACCTCTTATGAATGGCTTCTTTCACTTAATATACTGTTTCAAAGGTTCATCTATGTTGTAGCATGTATCAGAACTTTATTCCCTTTTGTGATGAGATAATATCAATTGTATGCATCTATCACAGTTTTAAAGTCCATTATCAGTTTATGGACATTGGGTTATGGAATACTTTATTTTTGTTATAAATTTATTGTAATAAGTTTAAAAAATATAAAATAAACCCCCAAAGCGATTATAAAATTGGAATGGTGAGCACACATTTCACTAGTGACTGAGAAAATACCAGTCAGGGGTATTGCAGGTGACAGGAGATGGTGATCACGAGTAGAACTTGTTTTGATTTGAAATTCTACGACCACTTTAAAAAACCCAAACAGTGGAAATAGTTTTGACCAAGAAAATAGTTTTTAGAAGGATCAAATGATGACCAAGAAATGGACACTCCTACATGAAGCATCGTTGGCCATGCGTTTTGCCTTAGAATTCCTGCTTTTTAAAAAATCACCTAAGTGTCAAAATATTTACTTACTAGTTTACTTTAATAGTCCTGATAGGAAATCCATTTCCATTCAGGTACACTGAAGGAATTATTCTTCACCATCTGGGTTTGGAAAAAATCTCAGTCATCTATCAGGTCCACGTTAAGACATCTCTGGGACTCACAGAAATTTTGCTCTGAAATCAGAGCAGCACATCAAAGTGAGCACCCCTCTTCTCTCAGGTCTATTGATTTTGTAGTTAGTATTAAGCCAAGGGTATGTTTCTGATTTTTCTCTCTTGCATACCGCAATTCAGTGCTAATGAAAAGCAAGATCTTAGAATCAAGTAGGGACAATAAGGATGAACTAATTGTGAAGGGAGAGCGTAAGTCATTCACGAATAGTCAGCAATTCAGTGGTAGCAATCAGATTTAATTTTAGCAGAAGTTTAAACACCTCAAAGACAAAATCAACCCTTTTAGGCCTATTGGTGGAGGTCTGGACAAATGAAAAATGGGTTAGGCTATAAACTTACAAAAAAACAAGACATTGTGTTTCTCAAATATGAAGAACTAAGAAGAGATGATTATATTCATGAGAAGCCATAGCTTTTCAAGTCCCTTGCTATAGTGAGCCTTATTCCAGCCGTGTCGTGTGACCTTACGTGGCTTTATTAGGTGAATGTTTTATGATTTAAATATCTATAATTTTACACATGTGTGTGTGTGCACGCACATGTACTTAGTCACGCAGTTGTGTCCAACTCTTTGCGACCCCATAGACTATAGTCCGCCAGGCTCCTCTGTCTGTGGAATCCTGCAGGCAAGAATATTGGAGTGGGCATACATTCCCCTCTCCAGGGGATCTTCCCCACTCAGGGATCAAACCTGGGTCTCCTGCATTGCAGGCAGATTCTTTACCGTCTGAGCCACCAAGGGAGCCCATAATTTTACATAGTGGAATTTAAAGTAAATCTTCCCATTAATAGCTTTTCTGTTGTTTTAATTTATGGTATAAGTTATGACTTAGTTTGCTATTCCTTTGCAAACTAAAAAGCATCACAATATCCATTCAGTTTTAGAACAGTTACACAAATGACGTCAAAGTTTCTAACATGCCTGATATCTGTGTTTGTCCCTTGATGGGTGTTTAGGTGGTGGCTCTGGGGGACGTTCCGGATGGCACTCTGGTGACCGTGATGGCAGGCAATGATGAAAACTACTCAGCCGAACTGAGAAATGCAACCGCGGCCATGAAAAATCAAGTTGCGAGATTCAATGACCTCAGGTTTGTCGGCCGGAGTGGAAGAGGTATGTATCTGTCAGAACTGAACTTGAAACACCCAGTATTTACATGGCAACAAACCCAGATTTCAAAACATCTAGAAGATTCTGTGATGGGATTCCCTAGAAGCATAGTCATTTCTTCCCATTATTGTTGCTACGTCAACCTTGTTGTTTAATATTTAATGTTTCTAACAGAATCTGGCTTTACATTATTGCTTTCTGTTACTGAATTGGTTTAAGACTGATTTGAAGCAGATAAGACATGAATCGCAAACTCCAAGAAAACCTCTCAGATCTTTACTAAAATATAAAAATATAAAACGTACCATCATGGAAGCTAAGATTATATGACTGGGGTTGTCTTATACAACTCTTTGATAATTTTCAGAAATCTCTTTACTGGAAGCCTTTAACTTCTGGTCCATGTGCTATAAGTGACCGAGTTTCAAATGATCACTTCTAGTAATTTTAAGGGTTATATAGTAGATGATTATTGCAATATGTTTCAAGGAAGCACTTTTTATGGTGAAATATGAAGAAATAGTAACATTCTGATTCGGTAATGTGACTTTCCTATATATAATTTGGATGGCTTATTATTGTCTGTAGGGAGGGACTGGGCCCAGTTAATATTTTAGGTACTAATAATACCAAAGATTGAACTCTCCCAAGAAATTGTTATATCAATGCGTTTCTATGTGTAGTTTTCTTTCTCCATACATGTTATCAAAGTATTCAACCAGAAAGCGAAATCTTGGCTTGTTGTAATCTCCTCTGGTTTCCAATCATTTTCAAATATGGTGTTTTCTTTATATTGTAAGAATCTTGGTCCTGTTTTATAAATAGTAGTAAGTACTATTTGTTTACTTGAAGGAGGTAAGATAGTTTGTTTTGAAAATTGCATTTTTGTGATGCAGTGTTGAATAAGCTTATGAATAAAAGTTATTTTGAGTATGACAAAAAAATGACATAGAAAATACCTAAATAACAGGAGATGACTCGTATTGTAAAAAAGTAAAAGTACAACCAACAGACATTAACAGAAGAGTAATCATTAGTCTTTATAAAAGCATTTGAAAATCTGTGTTCTTGGGGAATTTGATTAGTCAGAGAGGAAAGGGAGTAAAGGCAAGTTGCTTTTTTTGGCTGTTGTGTTTGTATTATCCTAGCTGTCTGGGGAATTTTCAAAACAGAATCATAGGTGGAGAAAAAATTTTTAAACTTATAACATGGTTGAAAATGTTTCTTTATAGCACTATGTTATTAGTAGGCTAAGGCCAATAAAATTTTATCCACTTATTGAAAGCATGAATGATGTTATAAGGTATAAAGGCACAAGTTAGCCTATGGGTTCACTTGTTATATTAAAAGTCCTCACCTTTCAGTAAATGGAATTCCCATTGTGATTCAGAGACACATGTCTAGAAAACATCTCGGAGGTTTCAGATGAGTAGCTGGCAGAGTAGGTGAGAAGCCAATAAAATCAAAGGCCCGACCGTCTGGTCCAGTAACCATCTCAATTCAGCTCCTATGGATCTCTGTTCCTAAGAAGCCATAGCTGAGGATCACTGGGTTGTGTTTCCAGAGGAAGCAGCGCTGCATCGTGTGCATCTGTGTAGGTCTATGGGTCGGGTTTTGGTTACGGAAGTTCTGGAAACTCTTTAGTGGTCCATGACAGTTTCCCCTAAGAAGCACAGTAAGTGGCCTTCCAGCAAGGGCCAGGAGGTTGGTGATGATAAAGAAGGACATGCTGAAAGCAGCCTGCTTTCTGTGCTGGTGTTTCTCATCCCTCGCTGGCTGTGTCTGGTTTGAGTGGGTGACTAAGAGGAGCTTGTGTTGACTTGGGGAACAGTGAACTGTTTCCCCAAGGTGTGGATTGTTTGCGTTTGGGTGCCTGATTAGTGCCAGGATGCCTTTGCGTCTGCAGAGTGGAATAACTGCAACCAAGGCTGGGCTGTCTTCTGATGGTGTGGAATGAGATACTTAATTGAAATGCTGCAAATATGAACAGTATCTGTTTTGACCAGGCTCTGTTTCCCATGTGTGCTAATAAGTGATCCAAAACAGAGGAACCCCAAAATAAATGTTGTACCCAATTAGTTACCGTGTATATTGTTGGTCTTGAGTGATTTTTTTTTTTGGTTAAGTACTGGGAGACAAAATGAGCTGTCAGAGTTTGACTCTGACTGGTAATTTCTCTCCATAGTCGTAAAATACAACTTTATTTTACTCTTTCAAGTCTTGAGTGTCAACATCAGCGCCTGCCAGGTTTTTTCTTTTTCGTTTTTTGCAATTTGCTTCTCATTATGAAGGGAGCAGATGACTTTCCCTCATTTTAACAATTAGCCTTAATCTCCCTTGCAGAATCTCGTCCTTTTAAAAGTTTCATAATGTTTTATTAAGTGATCTTAAGACTATCCCTATTTCGTTTTCTGGTTTTGAAAATGTGTCTGAAAATACGACACTGGCATCAACACAGCACACTGGGGCCGGGAAGGTCCTGGCTGCTGGCTCATCCGAACGTTTCAATGCCAGTTTCCCATTCTGTCCAAAGTCAGTGGTCTGATGAGTTTTCTCAAAGTGGCCTGATACTCCATTCTAAATAAAGGGTAGAAAAAGAAACTCCCTTTTCTCTTCTCAGCCGTCAGTCCCTCGGGATTGTAAAAGCTCCTAGAAATTGTCAGAGGTGGAACGTGGAAGGGTTTTTCTCTCTTCCACAAAACCGATCTGCCTGGGCGCTGGCTCATGTCCAGGATCGCGGTTCCTAACCTCGGGTTCAGCCTGCAACTGGGAAAACCTGCCCATCCGGCTTTGAAGGCCTTGCTGACAACACTGGCCCCTAAAAAATACTGGTGAAGGCTGCAGCAGTCTGGGCCTTCCTCCTTCCTTTCTTTTCTGTCCCTGACAACTTAAATCTCTCCTTCAGGGCTATCTCACCCTGGGAATTTTCTCCCTTTGATTCAGTATCACCATATAGATCCACCATTCCTTTACAATGGAAGGCGAGATAGCAGATCCCAGGAGAGGGGGTTGTTGTTCAGAACCATTCACAAAGACACACGTCCTGGGGACTGTCCCTTACCTCCAGAAAAAGCCAGGTTCAGGATCGGGGGAACTCTTCTTTGGTGATGTTCATTAGCGCCAGCTCACAGAGCTTCCATCCACCATTGAAGCGGGTGCTACGGATACGTTCAGTTATAAGAAATTGTATCATGGCTGCAGTCGAGAGACGTTGGAGAAATTTTAGCAATGAAATCCGTGAGTGCTTCCGCCCCTGTTGGAGTACTTAATCAGTTGGAAAGGAATCGATCAATCAGGGAATAGGGCCTTAGTTAATTCATTTTAGAACCAAAGAGGAAATCTACCAGACTGTATTATCTATCGTATCGTAAAATGGGGAAAGAGAATCCACTGCAGATTTCCTTCTGATTTTTCTAAGACTGAGATTTTTAATTTTCGGCACATCAGGAATCATTTTGAAAATCCTTGAAAGCCTTCTCCCCAGGGTGGAAAAAAATACATGTATGCACTTACACACCCAGTTTCTTGTACAGTTGCAGTTTCAGGGTTGCTGAAGCTCCTTTATGGAACTTCTGGGGATCCCATGGACCCGCTCTCCCCCAAGGCAAGAATCTGTGAACCTGGAAATTTGCCTCGACCATGGAGGGCCAGCCTAGCATGGTGCTGCACGTTATAGATAATGAGGAAATAAATGAACACATGAATTAGACATTCTTCTTGCACCCTGTGCTGTTTTGGTTACACCTGCTTTTATTGTATCCAGGGCCTAGTTTGCATAATTAGGAAAGGAGATCCCATTCAAACTGCTGGTCCAGACCTTTAAGATGCCAGCAGGTATACACACAGATGGTCCCTTGCAAAGGAGAAGGGCTTATTTTGTCATTAAAGGGGCAACCTCCTCTCTAGTGACTGCCTGGCCACCTGGCTACAGACCTGCAACTCGAATTCCCAACCAGCCCAGCAAGGCACATGGTCCCCCACCGTCCATTAGGACCGGGTTTAATTTCTTGGTGTAAATTTCTGTTTATGTTGACCTCCATGGCAACTTTAATCTTGCCCACTTTCCAAATAGTACCCTTCTCAACCCTTTTATAAAATGAAATTCCTTCCTCACGTTCTTGCTGTGGACGACTTCCCAGACATAATATTTACCCTGCCACAATCAGGGTGATTGCACATTTGTGTAATGTTTGTTACTGAAGGCATTTTCATTCTTAAGGTATTTGACTATATTTGGAGAACAGGATGGGGAGACTGCCTTTCAGATGAGTGAAAGACTGGTTGAAGGAAAGCTACACGCAGAAAAGGATAGAGTGTACCGGTATTCTAAACAAAGCGAGATGTGTCTTTATGGAGTGGTTATTACTAAGAAATGGTCTGGATGACTCACGATATTATCATCAGATCCCAGTCATTCTCTGTTTTATCACAGACTCATATAATAGGGGGAGGAAAATTCATCTGACAATCCCAGCGTTGTTTCGTGGATAACATTCAAGATAATGAGTTGGCAGTCAGACCTCCTGGAGAGAATACAAGGAAAAGACATGGGTTGTATTAAAATCACCTCTCCCGTTACCACCCCCGTCCCCAGGGTTTTTTTTTTTTTTTGATTGCTATAGATCTACCTTTTAAAATGATAATATACACATTGAAATCTGTTTTCAGACTTCCAGGTGGGCAAACACGGATAGGAAAAGACTCAGCCTCTGATACGTGCAGCCTCAGGCAGCCCAAGCAAATAGCGCCTTTTGATGGCAGGTTGAAAGCTGGTATCCATGATCTGATGCAGAATTCACCTCTAAGAGATCAGTTTTCTCATTCTGTTTCACATTTGCCCATAAAAGAGTAACAACATTTCCTCAAAGCAAGTTGCTGCCCACAAGCCCCCCCTCCGACCACCACCCAGCAGTTCCTGTCCCACTTGGCGTCTTGGCAAAGGCCAGGGAGGAGAGCTTTCTTGAAAAATGCTTGTGCCTGGAACATGCAGCTTCGCAATTGAT